TGGAGAAGCTTGTGCAAAATTGGAGATTGTATAAGATGTTCTCCAACAGGTATGGTTTTACCCTTCAGTGTTGCAGAGAGAGGAATAACTGTGGCAGCTTCTTCCTGACAAGTGACTAGGAAAATTGCAGAAAATCCCTTCAGGATAGGAGTTGGAAACCCTGCTGACTGAAGCTCCCTCACCCACATGCTCATATATTGATGTGAGATCCTTGCAAAAAGGGTATGCTACAAATGCATTAATAATCCATTCCAAGAAACGATGTGATACTCTATCACCTCTTTACATTAGCCAGAGAGCATCTGCTGAGGTTATGGATGCTCTTGTTCTCAGGAATGGTATGTGCTGTGTTAATATGGTGACAGCCAAGGTGGAATCTTTGTTTTCAGGGCAGGGAATTGCAGCCTACCCAACTCAGAACTCTGAAGGTATGCAATATGATTGTAATAGCAGACGTTCAATGCATTAATCAGAATTTGGTTGATTACTGGCACATTGGGTAACACTGTCCTAATCAATATTCTTTCATATATAAGTGCAGTTTAAAATGGTCTGCTTCTCTGGTAAGTTAAGAATGAATTTTAGAGTTTAGGATTCAGTTTGTTTTGGTAAACTCAGTTCTAAGTGCTGATTCATACCATCATTTTGCTTATGATTAGATAAATGCACCCACAGACCGCAGTTACAATTTTGCTTACCAGTCTGCATCGCCTCCAGTTCTTCTTTGTGGTCTCTGTGCCTTCATGGAGCCTGTTGTTGGGAAAATTCTACAGCTAAGCATTACTTTGGGTGGGAGCTCTTCCCCTTCCTGTTCCCTGCATCCTTGGGAAGGGGCTCCTGCCCATTCCCTCAGTTCCTTTTCAATTGTCTCCATGCCTAGACTGGGAAGATTCCCTTTTTCCTCTCTGCCACTTTATACTCCTTGACTCCTTACTTAGCCACCAGCTCTCCGTAAACTTTGTTTTCATTCTTCACTTGTAAAATTCATTTTAAAAAACCCCTTTCCTGCTCACTTTCTAACTGGTCTTTTTCATTCTTCTACCAGTCCTTTCTCCATTCTCTGCTCTCTGCCTTCCCCATCTACCACAATGGCATCAAAGGCACACTTTAGAAAATGTGTCTGTTGCTCCAGTAAATTCCCCCCCATGGACAGACAGTCCTTCTGACTTCTGTTTGAGCGAGAGACGCATCATTGAATCATGGCCAGGCCCTCACAAAACAGGCCTGGAAATATAGAACTGATTAACTGCGGCCAGGACCCTGGAAGTTGTGGATTCCAAATTCTTGACATGACCAGGAAAGCCACCAAGCATGGGAAAAAAAGATGGCCATTGCCACAAAATAGAAGTGTGGGTGGCATGAAAGCCCCATCTATCGTTGATGCCTAGGGCCTGATTGATCCCAAGAGAGCTCTCAGACCCAAAAGATGGTTCAATCCCAAGAGGAAGACCCCATCTACCATTGACCCCAAGGACCTGCTCAGTACCCAAGAGAGTGCTCAGGCCCGAAATACAGTTCAGTCCTGAAAGGGAGCCCCCATCTGTCATCAACTCCAAGGACCTGAGAGTGCCCAGACCCGAAAGAGGGAGCCCCTTTCTACTGTTGGCATCAAACGACCATTTGATCCCAAAAGCACTCAAACCTATGAGACTATTGGTTACCAAGACAGAGGCCCCTTCAGCCTTCAACACCAAGGGCCATTGGGTAGCGAGATAGCATTCAATATCAAGAAAGTGCAACTGTCAACCATTGACACTGAGAGCTATTCGGTCCTGAGAGTGCTCATTATGGAGAGACTTGTTTGATACCAAGACAAAGAGAGCCCATGTTGACCATTGACACCAAGGGCTCTTTGATGCCAGATCATTTGGTACCAAGAATGAGAGCATTCAATCCCAAGAGGGAACTCCTGCCTACCATTAACACTGAGGCCGGGTTGCATCACCAGCCCCCACTGATTCTGTAGGGGTTCCAGGGCATCCTGCAAGGAAGACTGAGATTTTCAATCTCCAGAGTACATCCAGGTGTACCAACCTTGACAGAGATCCAGTGACCACCAGGGACATCCATTCTGCCAGTGCTTCTGCAAGGATATGATTCCAATCAGGCAACACCAGTAATATCTTTGATGTCACCAAACTCAAGACTGAGAATGCTCTCTTCATTGTTGGATCCCAGGGACTGTGTATTCAACTTGGATCCAGATGTATTGCCAGTACTGTCCACCTCCTCATCTGATGCAGCCATCGCCATGCAGGACCTATTGCTTCCAATCAGAGAAGATGGGCATATTCTCCAAGCAGATCCTGTGAATGGTGAAGTCTCTTGGTCTTGAAACACATCAGCCTGGAAGACAGAGTCAAAGTTCCCCTTTTCAACCCCATTCACATGAAGGACTTGGCACCACTGTTGATACCGTTCCTGCCCATGCTACTGCAGGTGATCTGACAGATGTGGAAGGCCCTTACAGCTGCACATGCCACCTCAGTGTAGTTCTAGAGCAGAGGAAAGAGACATTGTATTCCTCTTCCAGCACCTGTGGCCCAAATCAGTTATCACTGAGTCTGCACATGGCCTCTTGCAATTGGAACACTTGTTGTCAGCAGACTGGGAGGGCTGATACCTGGACAGTATGGTGAGAGAGCTCTATGTGGCTTCACCACTTGGCCTCTGAATCTCTTACTACAAAGCCATCATGACCAGCTATCAGCTGTTCCTATGGGACAAAATTGGGGCCGTGTGTGACCAGCTCCTTGATGACCACAGGCAACTGTCTTGGGTCATTGACTTGGAAGATGCTTACTTCCGCATTATCATAGACCACAGTTGTTGACACTTTCTATGTTTCCAGATTGGAGATGAGACATTTCAATTCTCTGTACTCCCCTTTGGGTATTTAACTGCCCCCAGGGCCTTCTCTAAATTTATGGCAGTGGTCTGCTCACACATGGGCCTCCAAGGAGTACAAGTCTTCCTGTACCTTGATGACTTGCTCTGAGTAGTTCTATCTAAAGTGGAACTGCTACACTTTATCCATAGCACCTGCTCGCTCCTATGAACTTGGACTCTGTATTAACCATGAGAAATCAATTCTTTCCCTCTTTTAGTCCACCCTCTTCATAGGACCCTGCCTCTCATTGTCAATGAAAGCTATCCTTCCAGCATCCATGCTGAGCAAGATAGCCACCAAGCTCAGCACCAGAGTGGCCGTTATGGTCCACATAATACAAAAGTTGCATGGGCTCATAGCTGTGAAAGTGGCAATGGCCCTGTTTGTGAGTCTCCTGAGAAAAATAGTTTGTCCACATGTTCCACAAATCAGACAGCCTGCAAAAAGCATGCCTTGATGTCTTCCCACCCACCAGGAACAGCTGCCATGAGTGGACTAAACCTCACAATTTGCCAGCAGGTGTTAGCTTCTCACCCCCTGGCCTGTCAGTCATGGTCAGCACAGGGGCATTGCTGTTAGGACAAGGAGCACACTGTGGTGACCTGAGAAGCTGGTGTCCTGGAATTGACAAGAGTCCAGGAAGTACAACATGCAGGCAGACACTCTCAACTGCATGGACATTGATGTGCATGAGTGGCAACTGTGCACCAAACTGCATCTTTGTGCTTTGCTCAACTTCCACAGCAATACCATGGGACTTTCCTCAGTCTGCCTCACAGCTGAGGCCTTTTATCCTAAGACCGGGGCAAAATCCTCCACTCAAACATCAAACCGCTAAGCCTCATGTCATGGCGGTACACCATAAACCCACAGTTGATAACTTTGCCACAAGGTGTCAGGATCTTCCTTGATACAGCCCTGAAACCATCAGTGAGAAAGTCTTACCTAGTCATATGGCAGGCATTCACCACCTTTGTGCAACAAGAGGCCTTTGATCCACAGAATATCACAATTGAGCACGTTCTCTGATTTCTAAACATGCTGTTCCAAAAAGAGGCCAAAGTCCTTCTCTATCCACTCAGTCTTAACTGCCTGGGTCACAAGCTCCATCTCGGTTTCCCAGGAGCTGGCTTGGGCCATCTAAGAGCCCACTCCACATAAGTGATGGTGACATCCACAGTCCTCCTCAGGGGAATTCCTTTGCAGAGCAGCTGCATGGTCCCCATCCTCAATGTTCATCAAGCCCTGCAGGTTAAATATCTGGGCTAGAACAAACTGTTCCTTTGGCAGAGCAGTCCTCTTGGTGACCCTCTGGTGATGACACAGTCCCACAGTCCTCTTTAGGGTAAGCTTGCTAGTCACCCCTCTGTGTGATGCACAGAGACCTCAAAGAAGAATCTCAGGTTGCTTACCTAACTGTTGTTCTTCAAGTGGTCATCTGTGCATTCAAACAACCCACCCACTGGTCCCACTTGGTGTTGAGCCAGAGACAGGTAGCCCCACACTGCAGGAGGCACAGGGGCTGAACTGGGGTGGTACAGCAGTTCTCCCTCAATACTGGGACCTATAGGCAGTCTCCATGAAACCGAGGAAATGGATGGGAGCCCCTTCCCATGGATGCAGGGAACAAGAAGCGTGGGGCTCCCTCCCAAACTAATGCTTATCTGTAGAATGTTCCTGCTGACAGGCTTCACACAGGTACGGAGCCCACAGATGACCACTCAAAGAACAACAGTTTTGGGTAAGCAGTGTGACTATATACTGCACCTTCATGTGTTCATGGAACTCTTGAATTTGCTGTCGGTCTAGGTCAGTCTGGTCAAGAAAATTGCTCCTGTCCATGTATGGAGTAGACATCAACATCAGTACTTTGAAGCCTCATAACTTCCTGGCATGTGTGCAGTCCCTTCCAACATGTTCAGAGGGTGTCAATGACTGCAACAATTTTAAGAAGTATTTCCTCTGTAGACCTATTCATTTGCATTAAACTATGTTTAATATTTAAACTATATTTGCAAGACTTTAATGGGCAAGCGCATGCAAGGAAAAAGGTAGATTTTTGTAACAATGCAACTAACTTTTCCTTCCTCTTTCCTGCTGTTATGTACAGGACAATCTTCCCATCCCAAAGGAAGTCAATCGCAAAAAGAACAAGAAATCTGAAGCTCTGTTCCTGACACCAGCAAATGACTATGGACACCATTTCACCAAAATCAATTACCTCTCCTCTTTTTAATCATAACTCCTCATTTGTATTAAATATGGTGTATGGGTGTTGATGAGGTCATCATGGTGTCATATATCGGGAATTGTTTCTGTGTAAATCATAAGAAGAAAACTACGGGACTCTGAGCCTTGCTTTAGAGAATTACAGTGGGGGAAAATATGTACCATAAAACCAGTTTTTAATCATTCTGACTCAAGTAAAAGCTCTCAGAATTTCACACTGTGAATCCAAGTTTACAAACATTACAGGTGAGCCTTCAGGCCTGGTTCTGCCACAGCAATGTCTTCCACTACTCAAACTCAACTGACCACATGCAACTGGTATACTGCTGCCTCTTCATTTCCATGATTCTGAACTGCTTTTTGCAGAGGCTGAGAGTCCCCCTTTTATTTCATTTTAGATGTAACAAAGCCTAGTAGTTTATTTTCATCGATTGTCTGTATATCTCTATATTTTATCCATGTACTCTTTTGATGTATAGAAGTAGTATGAAACTCATGGTTTCCTTGTGGTAAGTGACTGAGATGCTGCCACGGGATTTGAGACACTGATGAATGGTGCTATTTTGGACTTTGAACATACTCCTTGGCAAGGTAGCTCTGATGGAGTTATTTTTAATTTCCATGTTCTAAGAAGGTATTGGTACTTTGTTCTCGTTCTTTAGACTGGACTGACTTGTTTCCTTGTGTCTTCAGTGTGGCTTTCTTATTCAGTGTTGTAGGGTGAGTAATTACTAATAAAGCAAGTAAGGAACTGATTCCCACCTGGGTGTGCTCGCAAACTTTCAATGGTAGTGGGAGCAATCACAAAACTGTAATTTACTATATTTTCCTTTCCAACATTCTGCTTACATAATTTGGATAAAGTATAGCAATAATTTTCTTACGGTTTTTGGGGAACTTCTTCTGTGTTTACTTTTCTGATCCATTAGGAAGGCATATTATTTTTAAAGGGAGGTTAGCATGTTTTGAATGTCCTTTAAAATTGATTAAATTGGCTATACATATTTAAAAAGCATAATTAATTGTTCTTTTGAATGTGTTTAAAGACAAGCTCTTAAAATGTAATGAATATAATTCCACAGTATTTCCAATATGTGGATTTTACATTTTTGTTCTTGCTCCCAGGGAATTAGAAAACAAAATACAATACAAAACAAAAAATACCATCTACTCATGGAATGTTGTTGTGTTAGACACAGTCTGGAAGCCCACCTTAATTTTTATATAACTCTTGTCCTTCAGCTCTTCCTCTTACTGGGCAGTCTTTGTCCCAAACTACTTAGCTTTTGACTGTTAAATACCAATGCATGCACTGCACTTCTTAGTTATCTTTCCCTTCCCACCCCCAGTTCTTGTGCACTTTCTTTCTTGTAGATTAGATAAGTTGATTGTGCTGTACATACATATAGCAAGAAACAGTATTCAGCAGTTGTGGCATTTATGTATAGTTGCAGTTGTGTACTGCTGAAAATGCAGGCTTTTGTAACAGTGTGATCTTTAATAATGCACTACAAGTACCCAATGTATTTTAGCTCTTTTAGTAGGATTTGTTCAATAAATATGCAAGCTCTAAGAGTAACCATGTCTTTCTTTGCCTACATGGAATACTTTACATTGGCTAATTACAAACATTAGAAAACAGCAACAATAAAAGCAGAATGCAATAACAGCCAGATGTGTTGAAAAAATTGCAGGGCAGAATTCCTAACTGTTAAAGCAGCCTCCCCCAACTTTGTACCCTCCAGATGTTGGGAATTTGCTAGGACTTCAGCTAATCATGACTTCCTTGTCCCATTTATTGTGATGGGTCTACTCTAAGATGTTATTAGATCCTGCTCCAATGCATTCCCTTGAAGCACAGTGACTGTTGCTGGGGTAGGTGGGGAAATGGAATGAAATATTCTGGAGTAACCATGGCTGGTTGGATGCCTGAACAGGAGTATTTTGCTGCAGGTTCTGCTCACCAAGCAGATTAATCAACAATCAAAAACACGCATAAGATTATGTACAGTAGAATGAAAACCACAGTAAAATTAATTGGAGATTCTGTACTCCCCATCCAAAGTTTTCAATGTTATGTACATGATACATAATTTAAACTTGAGTGCTTGGAACATAAGCCTATTTAGGCACTGCTTGGATGTCCTGCTGTAGTCGAATTATTTATGCCACCAATATGAACTTGCAGCCTTCCAGTGAAGTCCCTCCCTAATGCCCTTCCTGGGTTCCCACTCAGTTATGTTCTCAGTATTTATCCAAGTTTTTGTATTTTAGAACTCAGCCACTGAAACATCTTTCTTACAAGGATTCAGTTTAGAGTTGTTAGATCTCAGGCCAGTGGGACAAGTCCAGTGGGAACCCATCCGGGCTCCCAATGTGGCCCTCAGGTTTATCACATGATGTTCCTTTCCCATGGCCACCCACTTCCCTCAACTGCTTGGCAATTGCCCAGCATTTGCACTGCACTCCTCTGCAATTCTACAAGTCTGAAATGTCTCACCAAAGGCTTGGTTACTGCCATTAACCGGTATCAGCTAAAATATGCTTCCATTTTGGCTCCACCCACTGCTGGAATTCACAGCCAAGAGCTTTCCTAAAATTCAGTTCAGCCTTCTGGCTGAAATGCATCAACACTCCTGAACTGGTGGATCTTTTTCAGGGCCAAACTGCATGCAACATGAGAGATACATTACCAGAGCTCCCAATGTTTTTCTTTAAAATCAACCATGGTGAGCTCTTAATTGAATTGGAGGAGAAGCTATGGGCACTATTTTCACAGACTAGATTGCCCTCAGAGCTAACACACCTGCAACAGAAAAGACACGAACACCACTATGAGTGGTGAATGTCTGATAACAGCTAAGACATGCAGAGATGGGAGTAGTAGGGAACTGAAAGCACCATGTTATTCATTGAATTTTTAAAGTTGGTTGAAGAGGAACAGAAGTGTGTGTACCTTGTCACCCAAATCTCAAGTTCATGAATTTGAATTCCATAGCAGCCTTCCCCAGCCTGGTGGCCTTCAGAGGCATTTAGACTGCAATTCCCAGAATTCCCATACAGCAAGGCCATTGACTGGGAATTATGGGTGTTGCAATCCAAATGTATCTAGAAGGTACAAGGTTGGGAAAGGCTACCCTATATTCTTCCTCTGGCAGAAACAACCCTTTCATACACTTAAGGTGCAAATCTGCAGCTCTCTAAATTTGCATAAGATTACATATTTAAGTTAAAATGGCAATGTTGTGGAGAGGATATCACACTGTCATAAGTTACATGCAGACCAGAAAACATGAAATGGGTAAAATGTTGATGGGGAATTCTTCGGATGCTCTTAAGCACAATGAACCCTTTGTGTAATTTGGATCTAATGCTGCCCCCACTGACAACTGAGGACATCAGTTGCTAGTACAGTGGAGTTTGTTAGCAAGTTCTCACAGCAGTCCAGTTTTATTTCCCTCTGAGTCATTTTGGCTCCCTCACAGTTCTCCTCTTCCTGTTTGCTCAGAGGCAATGCTTCTGTCTATGACTCACTGCCTCCATTTGTAAAGTCTGCTTACTCTGTCGAAATCTACCGATACCCTCAGTAGCCATGAACATTTCCTGCACAGTCCTAATTTCCCCTTTCAGAACCACCTGGATCCTTTGGAATTTTTAGTACACATCTTCAGCCATAAGTGTTTATAAAGAAGCATCTGGGAGAAGAAAAGACTCTGAGAAACTTCAGAACATGCTAGGTCTTTCTGCCTGAATACCATTCCTCTATGTAAACAGCAGTTATCTCAAACTGCATGTTACTGTAGGAGCAGCAAAAAATTTCCATTGGATTCTGGAATGTTAATTTAGCCACAGCAGGAAATTATTACACGCCCTGCAACCCTGTTAGTATGTAAGATTTTAGCCAGCAAAGTAAGAAGTCATTTTAGGTGAATTCTTGTTGACCTGTGTGTTGAAATATCGTGACCAACAATTTGGAAGAGACCTTTTCACTGGGACATCAAAGTAGCTCATGAATCAACATGGTAAAAACATCAGCTTTCTCTATAAACCTCATGTCCCCCACCCAAGCAGTGTGGCAGGTTATCCAGGAAAGCTGAGCAAATATATGAAGAGACCCACTCATTTCTGAATGTGCCTTTTCTGCTTTGACTTTAATATCCTAGTTTGCAGCTATACCCACAGTTACAAGTAGGCTTGATGAAGATGGAATAGGCACTACAGAACCATTTAACCCTTACTTTTGTCCCACCTCTGATCAAGCAGGGGACTTGAAGATGTTTGAAGTGCTACAAAAACCTATTTACTGGATACAGTTAATAGAAGGAACAAACTGCAAACCCTAGGCATTGAGGCCTGTCATAACACTGACTCTCAGGGGAAAATCCTACTGTTTATGTACAGCTTACATAAATTTAATCCAAATCAGTGGGAGTTATTGGATAATTGTTGGATCTCAGACCTAGCCTTATTCTATAATTAGTTCCTGCTACAGGTAGGCTGAAATTGTTTCAATGCAGCCATCTGCAAGACTATTTCTTATCAGCTTGTGTTAATGAATTCTCTTTCTAAAATACAACCCAAATTACATTCCTCACCCAGCTGTATGCACAGATAAATGGATCAAGGGAATAATTGGACTCCCAAACTAGTGGCAGTGTGAATCACCCCTTTTCTTTTGCTATCCATTGATCTTCCACTCTTGCTGTCCTTGTATGCACCAGAGATTCTGCATTGGAGGGCATGGTCACATAAGATTTCCAGCCACCCAAGGTTGTGAAATGCTCCATCAAGTGGCAGGGGGAAGTAACAGCCACAGTTCTGACCAAGTGGCTTGGCATCCCTTGTGCACTGTGTTCCGAGGCGAGGCGAGGCGAGGCGAGGCGAGGCGAGGCGAGGCGAGGCGAGGCGAGGCGAGGCGAGGCGAGGCGAGGCGAGGCGAAGAGAAGAGAAGAGAAGAGAAGAGAAGAGAAGAGAAGAGAAGAGAAGAGAAGCACTTGCTGATGTAGAGGCCACATTTATCGAATGGACACAATTGCTACAGTTCTGCCCGCATTGCTCTGGTAGTGTAGAGGACTCCTGTTGAAGTCCATAAGGGCAGCTTCAAACGTGCATGCTTTCTGGGAAAGAATGAGCTCCATGGCAGCTTAAATAGATGCACCCCACCTGACAGCTGTGCCAAAGGAGGGCCCTGCTAAGCTGCTGCTGTAAAGGCTGTGGATGCAATTCAGCATATACCCTGGTCTACTTAAAGACCACTGAACATGATGTCCTCGACTCAGCGGAATGTGCATGCAGCAGCTGGGGCTAACATATTTGAAATATATTGACTGGTACATAAAACAAATAAATGTATATTATCATAGCCCAACAGCTATCTGCATTAAAGAGGTCCAAATCAAGAGGTTCAGCAAGGAGAGGGCAGCCCCAGGTGGTGAAGTGGGTTGGGGAACGGTATGTGCAACTCCCATTTACAGCTGCCATTCATCCTACAGCAAGAAATATCTCACATATGGGTCCACTATTAGGGACAGTACATGCAGAATGTACCAGATATTTTCATATGATTGCACATACAGTTTAGACTACAATGCCATACACAATTCCTCAGAGTAAACTAGACTGAACACAGTGGGACTAAGATCTAATTGACCATGCATAGGATTGCTCTGCTATGTGACTGAAGATGCAGAATAGAGCAGCATTTGGCTCAACTGTTCAGGCTGCCAAAATTTCTAACTTCTGCTTCAGAGACCTCATGATTAATTCCTGGCATGATGCCCTCAGAGTCAACCTTTACTGCTAAATATAGTTGTATCTAAAGTCTTCTTCTCTTGGCAAGCTAATTTTAAGACATCATATGCATACAATCTTCTTGTATTTATTTATATTGGCTATTCATTCTAACCCATCTCTCCACAAAATGGTGCATAAGGCATCTAATAGCAGTTACATTAAAATAAAAGACAAGCATGAAAACAGAAAGAAAGAGTGTTTTCTTTCTCCATTAAGGAAGGAAGGGAGGATTGGGTTAAGACGAGTTTAACGTTTTTATTCCAACTCATTACAGCTTGGATGCAAGCAAAGAAGAAATGTACAAGAAGCCATATTAACAAATATTGATTGTAAGAATTGCCAAGAATTTCACCCCTCCCTTTCCTTTGGCACCAAGCTTCTGCAAGCAGCTGTTGAATGTAATTAACCTTGTGTTCATAGATTTCGCAGACTAAATGTATAATCATTTGGCTAGATGGGGACGTCAATGTCCTATTATGGCCTGTCTCACTAATGGGCAGTGCTGCTGGTTGCTTTGGTGAATGTTGAAGAAATCAGATCCTTGTTTGGAATTGCTGGTGATAAGACCATTGAAGCAATGCTTAGGCAGTCAGTCTGTGGGAAATCGAGGACTGATTTCTCTCAGGAAAAATGTACACCCTTTTTTGTTGACAAATTGTGAGGAAATGTCTTGCAGATCTCTTGAATAATCCTACACATGTTTACTCTGAACTAAGTCCGACTGCATTTAGAGGTGGCATAACTCTGATTACCCAAGGCTAGGATCATACACAACATGGCCAGCAC